TGGCCGGAGCGCAAGTCAACCTTTCAGTGATGCCTCAACCCATCAAAGTGACCTACAGGTCTCAAATGACCTTTACAGCAACCAAAACACAGTCAACTTCCTGCAGCAACAGAGCCTGAATGCTCAAATCTCACATACTCCCGTTTCTGGAAGATCTTCTGCTGGTCGTCCTCCCCATGCTTTGGTTAGCTTTGGTTTTGGAGGAAAGCTTATTGTGATGAGGCAGACCTCTACTGACAACTTGAACTTTGGTAGTCAGGTTGGTGTCTTGACCTTAGTTTCATTGTAACCTTTACATGNGAGAGGCATGCTCATTTTATTTTTTATTTTTATAGTAATATTATTATTATTATTAATTATTTTTTATTTTTTTTTGAAGAATCCTGTGTGTGGCCCTATATCTATTCTGAACTTAGCAGAAGTTGTGAGTAGCAGCATCGATACTCCAAGCTATGGAACGAGTGCTAGCAATTATTTCCAGACGCTTTGTCGGCAACCTTTACCAGGCCCACTTGTTGGTGGAAGTGTTGGCACTAAGGAGTTGAACAAATGGATTGACGAGAGAATAACAAATCTCAAGTCTGCCAACATGGATCCCCGAAGAGCTGAGGTTTTGATTTTGCTCCTATCACTACTGAAAATAGGTTGTCAGTATTATGGCAAACTTCGATCTCCTTATGGCACAGATGCTGCGTCAAAGGTACATTGTTTATTAGGTCAATCAATTATCAATGAACCTCTGATTTCTTATGATTACTCGAATTGCTCATGCTCACAGTCTTACTGTCCATTACCTGAAATACTTGCCCATCTGCTGCTTGTTATTTGTAACTATATATTGAATACAAGTTATCAGAAGATATAATATGAACACTTTTGTGTGTGTTATACCAAAACAAGTAGTTTTTTCTTTAATGATATTGGAACTGCCTCCTTTGATCATGCGGACATTTGTATTATTATAAACTTTCGACTTGGTTAACGACCTAAAGAATCTTAATATATTGAATTTGCCCGGAGTTATAAAGATTACAGCCATTGCCTATTATATTAACTTTATTTGTTTCTGCTATGATTGAAGGCTTGATAGTAATATTTCTGCAAACTGTAATGATTTTCTGGAAGTTAAGATGATTCCGTAGTTGTTTCTTGACTCGATGCATCATTGTTGAATTTGGTTCTCTCTAATTCCAACAGGAAAGTGATTCTCCAGAATCAGCAGTTGCCAGACTGTTTGCTTCTGCTAGAAGTGATTCACAGTTTAGTCAATATGGTTCTGTTACTCAATGCTTACAGCAACTGCCATCTGAAGCACAAATGCGGGTACAATGATGTACTATATATGTGTATATATTGGGCTTTTGCTTATGCCAAACATCATCACTTAAAGAAATATAAACTTATGTCTCAGGCCACAGCAGCCGATGTTCAGAAACTTCTGGTATCTGGAAGAAAGCAAGAGGCTTTACAATTTGCACAGGAGGGTCAGTTGTGGGGTCCTGCCCTTGTTCTTGCTGCACAACTTGGTGATCAAGTTAGTCACTTCTAAATGCTTCGCCTCATCCTATCTAATGAAAAAATTGAATTAGATAGAATCATGTGCGGTCCTATTTTTTTGTTTGTTTATTTATTTATTTAAATTTGGAATATAATCTGATACAGTTCTATGCTGAGACTGTCAAACATATGGCACTTAAACACTTGGTAGCAGGATCACCTTTACGAACTTTATGCCTGCTAATTGCTGGTCAACCTGCTGATGTATTTTCAACGGATAGCACAGCTGTTAGTGGCATGACTGGTCCAGTTATGTCTCAGCAACCAGCGCAGGTAAGCTACACAATGAGTAAGCAAAAGTGCACCCTTTAGTACTTCTTAACAGTGTTTTGAATATGTGGTGTCATGTATGTCAAAATATGTATGTGTAAATATATCCCTCAATTTTTAGTTCATTATTTGACAATAGGTTTATGGTAGTGTATATTAAGCCTGACGTGGTCATTTACTGTGTTTGTTGAAATATTTTACAGTTTGGAGCTAAAGGCATGCTCGATGACTGGGAAGAAAATTTGGCCGTGATAACTGCAAATAGGACTAAGGATGATGAGCTAGTGCTTCTTTATCTTGGAGATTGTTTGTACAAGGAGAGAAGCAATGTATGTTCTGTTATTTTCCTTTTTCTTGTGCTAATATTTGTTTTCATATTCATGGGAGTTCATCAGTTTTAAGAATTATACCTTCTCAATATTCTAATGATTGGTGCTCAGATGATGGCTGCTCACATATGCTACTTGGTTGCTGAAGCCAATTTTGAGCCATACTCGGACAGTGCGAGATTGTGCCTCATCGGTGCAGATCACTGGAAATTCCCACGGTCATATGCAAGTCCAGAAGCCATTCAGGTGTGGTCCAATTGTCATTTATTCGGCAATCATTTTTTTCTGCTAGTTTTCAAACTATCTAATTCACTTCCTAGGGCTTTGGACCTGAATCATGGGAAATAGAAGAACAAGAATAGTTCAAATTTCAAAAGCATGTATTGGACTCAAAATGTTCTCACTCTTTCAGTCTGGATCTATCTTCCTTATGTTACGTATTTGAAGCGTAGTAGTGCCCTTTCAGCTATTGGACTCAAAATGTTCTCACTCTTTCAGTCTGGATTTATCTTCCTTATGTTACGTATTTGAAGCGTAGTAGTGCCCTTTCAGCATTCTGTGTGTGGATCACCTTGTAACTTTAATCTTCCAAGAATAAGAACCCTCCATAAGTTTATAATCAACGCTATGCCTTTGTGCATGAGAGCAGCTGTTGTACTCACTGAGTAGAAAGTTGTTGCAATCTTATAGATGTTTGATAATATTGTTATGGTCTTGCTTGTCCATGGATTAGGCTTGAGCCTATTGTTATTCATGGTGGCCTCTGAAACTGATTGTTATGATTGATTCTATTTGGGAAACTGGCATGTTTCCATGTGCATGTTTGACTCTTGCATATTTTCAGAGAACGGAGATATATGAGTACTCAAAGACGCTTGGAAACTCGCAGTTTGTCCTACTCCCATTCCAACCATATAAATTTGTATACGCGCACATGTTGGCAGAAGTTGGGAGACTATCAGAAGCATCAAAGTAATACTCTTCTACCTCAATTATCTCGTACAAGTCTTATTTGTTTTCTCAGCATAATCTTTTGATGTAGGTACTGTCAAGCAGTATTAAAATCACTTAAAACTGGTCGATCTCAGGAAGTGGAGACACTGAGACAATTAGTCTCATCTCTTGAGGAAAGGATCAAAGCTCATCAGCAGGTGTTACTCTGTCTTGTTTGCACCTTTACCTTATTGAATTCTAGATTCCTGTAACTATAACTTGTTATCCTCATAAATCCTAGATTCCAGTAATTGTAATTGCTCATCATGTAGGGTGGGTTCTCGGCTAATTTAGCCCCGAAGGAATTTATTGGTAAACTGCTTAACCTCTTTGATAGTACTGCACATCGTGTTGTTGGGGGTCTACCACCACCTGTACCAACCGCAAGTACTACTGCACATGGTAAAGAAAATAATTACCAATCAATTGGATCTAGAGTATCATCTAGTCAGTCAACAATGGCTATGTCATCGTTAGTACCTTCTCAATCTATGGAGCCTATAAATGAGTGGGCATCGTCTAGCAACAGAATGGTTATGCATACCAGAAGTGTTTCTGAACCTGACTTTGGAAGAAGTCCAAAGGTTTGTTTCGACCTAGATGCTTTGTTTATTGCTCTTCACAGGTTGCTTCTGGTTTTGTGATGCTGCCGAAAAAAAATAAATAAGGTATTCTCAATTCATGTTTGGTCAGGATGATACGTTGAAGGAAGCAAGTTCCAGTGGAGTGAAAGACAAAGCTTCAGCAGCTGGAAGTACATCTCGTTTTGGTCGTTTTGGTTTTGGATCTCAGCTGTTGCAGAAGACTGTTGGTTTGGTGCTTAAACCTCGCCAAGGCCGCCAGGTAATATGATCAGGTTCCCCTTTTGACATATACTTTTGTATTATTTTGTATTTGAAAGTTTCTTGACTTCGTTTTTTCATATGGTTCTATTCTAGGCAAAACTGGGTGAAACAAATAAGTTTTATTATGATGAGAAGCTCAAGAGATGGGTTGAGGAGGGTGCCGAACCTCCAGCACAAGAAGCAGTCCTTGCACCACCACCTACATCCTCAGTTCTACAGAATGGAACATCAGAATACAACTTGAATAATGCAATGCATAGTGAAGCTTCTCATAGCAATGGAAGCCCAGAATTCAAAACCACAAGTGCTGTGGACAACAGTCCTGGAATGCCACCACTTCCCCCAACGACCAATCAGTACTCGGCACGTGGAAGGATGGGTGTTCGATCCAGGTAAAAATCACAGATAAAACATCTTAATGATTTATGAGGACATAATATGCTAGATCACCTACATCTCATTTGGAGTGAAAGCAGATATTGTTAGATAACGATGCTCACGTATCATTGGGTATTTATTTGACTTCTTTGGATTGAGTTATATTTTTTGTTTACATTTAGGTACTTTTTCTTACAATGAGAATTTCTGTAGTTTGAGACTCGGTACTGTGTGTTCATTCATCCTGACAGTTTAGTTGCCGCCACATTTGTCTTTATAATCGTATTACTATTTTAAATTATTTTTCTTTGTTATGGAATTTTTATACAACATAACTTGAGTTGGTTAAAATAATTTACTTTCCACATCCTTATGTCAGGTACGTCGATACCTTCAACAAGGGCAGTGGTGGAAATTCAGATCGTTCATTCCAGTCACCCCCAATTTCATCCGTTAAACCCACAAATGTACCCAACCCAAAATTCTTTGTCCCCACACCAGTATCGAATATTGAACAACCAGTCGATAATCCCGTAACTAACGAGCAGAATACTTTAACCACTACTTACGAAGATCCTTCTACTGCTCCTCCTTCTAATGACCCGTCCTCATTTCAGTCCCCAGCTCCTCAATCTGCCCTGAACATGCAAAGATATGCCAGCATGAATAGCATCTCGAACAAAGGGGCGAGTGACAATGGCTCGTTTGCTGTACATAATCGACGCACTCTTTCTTGGAGTGGAAACTTCAATGATTCTTTAAGCTCTCCACAGAGAACTGAAGGAAAACCTCTTGGGGAAGTAATGGGCATGCAACCCTCGACTTTCATGCCGAGCGAACCTTCTTTAGGGCATTCGTCAACGAGTGGCGGCAGTTTTGGAGATGAACTACATGAGGTGGAACTTTGATATCCTGTCCAGGTGTGTATATATAACGAAATCTCTGTTATACGGCCATAATCCTGCTGAAGTCCCACAAATTGTCTGTAGAGAGAGAGGAGATATGAAATTTTATTGTCGTTTTTTTGCCCCGTTGTTGCCTTATATTCTCGGTTGGATTTTGAATCAGCTGTCGGTTATTAGTTTACTGTACTTTTTATACGGATGCCTTGGTCATAGTTGGAATGATGAACAGTATGAAGTTGTAGTCCAAATTGTACAGCTCATATTTTCTATATTTATTGGCGAACAAGTTGGAACTTTTGTTAAAGAAAAAGTGACAAAATACATTGGTTAATAAAGTAGCATTTGAAGTTGGGATATGAGAATTTGTGCTAGCAGAATGGGTGATAAAATGTGATATGAGGAAGACTTTGTGTTTTAAAATTTATTGACGACTTCAATTACTTCTTCCTTTTTCTTACCGAATTTTTTTACAGTTGGTGTGTAACCCACTCACCCACTCTAATGGGTGTGTTGATCCAACATTGATAAACTCGTTAAAAGGCACTACATTCACAGGTGGGGTCAAATTTTTCCAGCAGCACATGCATCCGTTCGTTAAGATTCCATTTGCATTTAGCCATAAAATCCAATAACTAATTAAAGATTTCATTTGCATTCAACACTAAGATCCAATAACCAAAAACACACAAAACCAGTCATTACCAGAAACACGTTACACGTATATATGTTATATATACTTCATATACAGCTATAATATATGTCATCATATTCATAACTAACATCAAAATTCGGCAGCCGATGCAATCCCCCTATCTGCAGCCACCCTTCCACATAGTTCGCGTCTCGTAAGTCACTCATCCTCCTTATCCTTATCTTCTTCGTCTCCAATCCATCCCGACCCTCAATTTCCTGAGCCGGAAGATTAAGATTCAGATCCAGCTGGCAGCCGCGATCCGGCGCAGGCACGAACACAGGCTTTCCGTGGTCATACTCATACTCATACTGAAGCTCCTGAAAGCCCGGGATATTGTAAGCATTTTGGGCAGAGCTCGTCAGCCAGTGGCATCTCTTGTGACCGCCAAGCGCCTGCCCGGAGGCAAAAACCCTGCAGCAAACCGAGCATTCATGAACCTTCAGTTTATTCGCGGGCCAGGCCGAAACAGAGGGCCCGGACTCATCCCGGCCCGAATCTTCGTCGAAAAACTCCGGCCCGGAAGCAAAACAGCCCTGACTTTCTTGTGCGCCTGGTGGAAGGCGAACATCTTCTTGCAAGCCTTGCATTGGAAAACGGGCCCGTTCTCGGAAGGCCCGTGGGGCCCGTTTTGGTCTTTGTTGGATAGCATGACGAGACAGCTGGCGAGATATTCCTCCTCTTCGGTTAGGTCCCGATGATCGGTCGTCGGTTTGTTCTTGCCCGGGACTATTTCTTTCGTGGGCCAGCTTGCACGAGCCCGTTTGGCCCGAAAAAAGTATGAGTGCTTAATGTCGTTTTCGTGGGCCAGCTTGCACGAGCCCGTTTGGCCCGAAAACTTTCTTGATTAATGTAGTGTATGTGTGTGTTTTTTTCTTAGTTTCTTAAAATTATTTAGATTACAGTTTACACACAATGTGTAGTTGAATTTACTAAAGTGTTTGGTGATATAATGTAGTGACTATATAGTTATAGTATATAGTGTGTGTGGTAGTACCAGTGTTTTAAAACGCGTGTAGCGTAATGCGTCGCATTTTGGTCGTTGTATTGCGTAGTGTAAATAGCGTTGCGTGTTGCGTAAGCTATTTGAGTATAAAAAATTATTTTTATAGAAATATATATATATATATATATTCCAAAAATTATCATAGTAATTGAATGAATTCAAAAATAACATTTAAGAATTATTTCTTATTTCTCCCAAATGTTTAATGTAAATATCTTAACATGAATATTTATATTTATATTTGAATAATAAAGCGAATATGCTGAAAAATAAAAGCAAACAACTAAAATATAATAAGGTAAGTCATAGTTTATTTTAAGTATGTATATTTTAATTAATTTTTTAATTTAGCAACAACTTAATTCTAACCACTAGATCTGAACTTTTTATTGTTTAATTGAAATGTCAAATATCGAAAAATAAAATGATATAATAGAACCAGACCGATAAATATTACACTATTCAACTTAGGACTTTGCATATTCAAACTTTTAATTTGAAATCATTATCAAATTTTTTAGTTTTTAGTTGATCATTTGAAAATAAATATTGTTGCAGAAATATAACGCAAAATAGCGTAAAATAGCGTGTCATCTCAACATTCCGCGTAAGTTTTTTCAAGAAAAACGCTAAATATATCAAGCTATATCGCGTTTTTTTAGGAAAAAAAAAACAATGGGTAGTACTGAGTCAAGGTATGGTTTTCTGTTTTCTTCTTTATTTTTTATTTATTTATTTATTTATTTTTTTGATGAGTTTAATCTGTGCTAGTTTTTAGCTTGAATTTGTTGTTTTTGTTGGGGATGAGATTGGGTGGTGTTGAGTTTTTTTTATGTGATTTGTGGCTGTAAATTTTTCTTCTCACTTGTAATGTGGTCTTTCATAGTATTTTTCACAGCAAAGGAGAATGTAATGGTATATGTTTTTGACTTGTTAATTCTACAATTTTTTACCTGATTATTACAAAAAGAACATCTACGGTAACATGTACGTGCGGTTGTCAGTCTTTTGATCTTTGTGTTTTCATGATCTTTGGAGTATATCAATGATTTGTCACGAAATTTTGTTTTAGCAATAAATTTCGTTGTAGTAGTCACTCATTTGATATTTAGTCATTTAATTATTTGATTTACAATTAGCCTCACAAAAAACTAATATTTAATCATATTTATCACTCATTTAATATTTAATTCTTTAAATAACATTTATATATATATTTTTTCCGTTAAAAAATATTTTGGACAGGAAATGATTAATATAAAATTAGGATTGGTTAGTATCAAATTAATTCATTACACTTAACACTGGAGAGATATGGGATAAAAAATATTTTGGACAGGAAATGATTAATATAAAATTAGGATTGATTAGTATCAAATTAATTCATTACACTTAACACTGGAGAGATAAATATAAAATTAGGATTGATTAGTATCAAATTAATTCATTACACTTAACACTGGAGAGATATGGGATAAACATGAATAACTGTATTTCTGCAAGATATCTAATATGTGATCAATTTTTTTTTTTTGGAGATTTACAATTTTTTGAATTGTATTTTACTAAATTGATAGAATATGATCAATTTTTTTTTTTTTTGAGATGTACAATTTTTTGAATTGTATTTTACCAAATTGATCAAGACTGTGTAACAAGTAAATCGATGAATTGTATTTTACTAGAGTATAACAATGGTGTAGTTGCAAAATCTTTTCTTACTGCTAACAAGTAAATTTATCAAGACTTTGGCTAACAAGTAAACTGATCAAGACTTTATCTATGTTGAAATTCTATAAATAGTACCACATGATATGATAATTCGATAATTCAATTCCTCAGTCTTGCAATTTTAAGAATTCTGATCGGCTTTTTGTTAACCGGATTCAAACTTATATTATCACAGCACGAATTAAAAATTGCAGCAGCTAATTGTCGTGTTCCCCATGCTGTAACTATTAATGCAGATTATATTTCAACGCAATGTACATATTAAAATAACATTGGGGTTGGATTGTGAGTAAACAGGTAACACAAAAATAATAATTCAACCCAAATTTTATCATGTCCAAAGACCTGAAAGATGGGTTAACTTCTTGTAATAAAGATGACAAACTCAAGAAGAAATCACAATAAATCCCAGATTCATACACATTTTTCGGATCGATACTATTTCATTAATACTTGGCTCCAATGTCAAGTTGATTCTTAGGATGAATCGCACAAGCAAAACACGTTCAAACAGTCCATGTCATTTTCGATTACAAATCAGTCCTCCGAATTCCTACAGCACCAAATTGAAACCTAATCATGCCTTCTAAACTATATTTCAAAGCTCATCAACATAACAACCACGCTACACTACACACGTACCTCGAAGCAGTGCTTCCGTGCAATATACCACTTGTACCCCAAGCAACAATTTGAATCCTGAAATTTTTTTTTACCAGAAGCAGTAATTCAGATTACGATCGCAGTTAAAAAAATAAATATACCGACCTGAATTTCCAAGTTAGTAGCTCACATCGTAAGTAACTCACCAAAATTCAAATCCAATAACCAATTCAGTATCTGTGATAAGGTCTCTCGAATTCATCTCGTCTGTGACGTTGAAACTCTTCATAAGGTTCTTGGGGGGGTCTCTGAGAAGGGTAAAAATGGTCCACAGCATTCGGGAACCGGCCTCTCAGGTGCTGCATACTATCTGCGGAATGATAAGGATTTCCAGAAGAAGTATCGATTTCTGCAAAATGCAATTGCTTGTAGCCACCAAAACGAGATGCGGGAACTTGCTGACGTGCTTCTTGCCTCCTCCTCTGGCCCTCCGCTTGAAGAAATTCGGTCCACATATTCGCATGTGTACCCCTCAGTGCAGCCGCCTTTTTTGTTCGACTTTCCCATATTTCCTTAAGGGCCTATAATGAAGAAAAAAAATAAATAAAATATGCATATAATTTGTGCCTAGTTCTTGAATACATCTAATATATATGCACACAAAAGCTCACATGGTTTTTTTTTTTAATGAATTGAAACTTAATTAAAAATATGTATAAAATCAATCTATTGAAGCATAACAAACCTCACGATGCTTGCAATTTTCTTCATCTTCTTCTTTGTCCCGAATCCTTGCAAGTTCCATGGCCTCCCTTTTATACTCAAACTCTAAATCCTCCAGTGACAGGGGAAAGGAAGGGTAGTCGAAATTATCCGACTGCACAATTGGTTTGCCTCTGTCAGAATTCCATCCATCTGTCTTGATGCCACCTCTGTTGTGAGTATGGCCTTCGAACGAGTTATTATAGGAGTTTCCAAAGTACGAAGGACGTGGAGACTTTGAACGGCTCGCTCGACCTCTAACTCCATCACTACCATAAGCTTCACCAAAGGAAGATTTTCATTAAGCACTTCAGNTTTTTTTTTTTTTTCTTTATCAACATCTCTAATAATTGTCGCAGCTTTATCATTTGACACTATCTTTACTGTATCCATCAGGGGGCAAACGAGACTTGATATGCTTTGAAAAAATAATCAATTTTGGGAAGACAATCCGTTTCAATTCAGAATCACCACGAAAGTTATATCAGAATCGAACACACCGCTTGAGCCTAAGAACTTACCTCTTGCTGCAAAAAAACATTACAAGAAGAAAGCAGCATTACAGAAAGATATGTACCCCTCACACACACACACACACACACACTAAGAGAGAGACTTATATATAAATCTCAATGGCTATCCATATGTACAAAGCTAAAAATAGATAACTGCACCTACCATTGGGAGAGCCATTTGACAATTTTTGAATATCTTGACGAACATGGTCTTCCATGACTCTCTCTTGTCTACCATACCTATGTGGGATATGTTGAGAACTGTGAGGGCTTGAATTGGACTTTCGTCCCGTTCTAGAGTTAAGCGGACTCCTATGTTCAAGTGACTTGGCATGCGTAACTGGCGAGCTAGAAGAACCTTTCTTCTCACCATCTTCTTTAATTTTGTGAACAGCATCAACACCTTTTCTCAAAATCAGCCTATCTTTGCCACTGACAATGATAAATTTTTCGTCCATCTTAATTTTACAACCAATGTCCTTCTCTATTTTGTTCACTACATCTTTCGAGAATAAAGATCTCACTTGAGGATCTCTTGCAGGCACCCTCTCAAAGAAATCTTGCGACTTGCGATTTGCTCCAAGAGTAGATGGGCAACCCTAGAATTTTTTTTATTTTTTTAGCAAGAATTTTTTGCACTTATGATACACATGTAAGTAGATGATTAAAACAATGAAGCAAATGCCATCATCTTCTTTGCCCATATTTTGTTGAAAGGTACCTGAGTAAAGTGACCTGATTCCCCACATATTTTACAGATCATTTCCTCCTCTTTCCTCTTTTTCCAGTTTCTCTCTGTAGCTTTGGATTTAGCTTCCCAAACCTTTGCTTCTCGGCTGGTAAAATCTGTTGGGACGGCATTAGGGTCATGAGCTTCTTCTTCTTCTTCATCAGACCCAGCATGGGATCTTTTCTTTAGTGTTTTATCTTGTTCTTTCGGTGGATTAGAAGTCACAGGGCCAGTATAGGCCTTGTAGATTTCACTAAAATCATCATATGCGTCCACATCCTCCGCACTTGTCATCTAGGCCGAACAGAAATATTCTGAAGTCTGCTTTGATGCAAACGAGTCATTGAGTGTAGGAAAGGGAGGGACACAAAGCATGGAAACTATTACACGAACAAAATTTGAGTTGATAAAAATATGTTCTTTTACACCAACAAACAAAAATTCAACAAGATAGAGCTAATTCGATATCGATTGCATACTTATGGATATGTAATTTCCATGAAACAAGGATCAGGAACCAGATACACCTCACAAAATCATGGTTACATTAAGAAGAAGAATGAAAATATGAATTAACATAATAAAAACAATCATAGTATGCTGATTTAGGATTGAAGAAATTCGACCCAAGACAATGTCATCACCTATCCATATGCCACATACAGATACACCACTTGGAGCCACACAATAAATTCAACCTTAAACTCAAACCCTCCAAAAAAGATTGTGAGACACAAAACACTTTAATAGAAAACAAAAAAAAACAAAAAAAAATATTCCAATCAATCTATCAGAAAGAAATATGAAGATAAGTGGAACGTTAACGAATATTCATCATCAGGATGCAAAATAAGAACGGAAAAATGTTGAAAAAACAAGACGACCAATTGAAGCTCAGCAACACAAAAACGAAGCAGATAAAGAACATCACACATTCACGCGTTCCGAAAAAAATTGAAGTTGCAAATGTGTTAGGCGCAGCAAATGAGTAATTGAACAAAAAAAAGTACAAAAAATATTAAAATTTGATCAATAGGAAGTACCTGCAAGCTGGAATGGGTGAGCGACGGAGATCAAACGGAAGGTAGAGAAGGTGACCAGCAGCTAGGGCTCTTCTAATCCCTTTCAAATGTGTCTGATTTCGTTTTATTTTTGTTCTTATTTCCTATATATAGATTTATCTCTGTTCATTTACTCTTTTTTGTTTAGACTAAATTTTAAAATAAATCCCAAAATTTATTTTATTTTCTGTTTAATTCCATTCTTTTAATTTTTACAATACAAATCACGAGNAAATAACTTTTATCCCCTTAAAATAGTAGGCTTTTTTCAACTTATCAATCAACTTGTTTTTACAATCAGTCACATAAACTATGTTTTTTAAAAAAAAAAAATCTTTACAAACAACAACAACATACTCAGTATATTCCCAACAGATTGGGATCTGGGGGTCAGTTGTACATCTTATCCTGGTAATTATACAAGGAGACTGTTTCCGTAGCGACCCAAGGTGCATTACGCCGTTTGTATTGAACGTAATATTGTTTGAAAATAATTGGTTTACAAAAGCTTTTTGATAATTACAATTTTTTAAATTGCAAAAAATAAATCCAAGGACCAATATAATTTTCGAACTTATAATATATAACAAATATGCTTAAAGTTAGCTATCAAATTCGTGTACATTGTTGTGTTTATATTGTTAATTTTTATTTATGTATTAACTTTCACTGTCTGATCTTTCTTCAACCTCACAATTCTTTTACGATGCAACCTAACGGCGTTAGATAGACCAATTCATCATATATTTTGATAGGAACAATTCATCACACTTTTTGAATAAAAAAGTCTAAGTGTCATACTTCTGTTAATGTTATTTTTAAAAAATATGACCTTTTTTTAATAAAAATTGTATGTTTTTCATAACATGTATGTCTACCTATATAATTATACCATTGCATTACAACTTACAAATTTAAAATGAAAAATAATGAAAGCCCACCACATAAAACCAAGAATTAGAAATAAAAAAGAAAGCTATTTTCTAGACGAAGAGAAAGAGTTCCAACATATATACACACAAGAGACCATTTTCCATCTAATCTAAAGATCTTTTTACACCAAAAAATCGTCACAACAAAAGTCACATGTCCAAAATCAAATCCTCTGTCCAAACACCCTCTCATCATATAAAGAATCAATCACCTTCAAAAAGCCCCTACTTCAAAAAACCACAACATTTAATCCTTCTATCTTATTATTTTCCCCTTTTTTCTTCTTTTACTCTTCTTCTTCTCCCTAACACAACTTATTCATAGATGGCACCACACTACTCTGCTCGACCGACACGTGCAGTGCCGACACAATCTTCCCCAATGCCACCCACACGAGCGGCGAGCAGCAAAATGCGTACCCAAATACCGAAAGTGCCCTCACTATCCCATTCGGGTAGCCCGGATAGCCCATGACAAGAAGGGAGCCCAATATCCCGAGGCCCGGCCCAATAACGGGCAGCATTGGGAGCAAGAAAATGTTGGCCGCTACACACGAGAGTGAAAAGGCCCCCATTAGGTAAAGGCCCCACCCGACAATCGGGTGGACCGTGTGGGGTATGAGGTAAAACGGGACAATGTAAGCAGCCAATAGGGCCCACAAGGCTAATAGCTTGAAGCCCGTTTGCACGAAGAACAAACTCTTGTCGTCTCGACTGTAGCAGAGCTTGGACAAGTTGGGCCGGGCTAAGCGGGCCACGGCTATTATGCCCACATATAATATGGCTTGGATCCAGATGACAGGCATTTCCTCACCGTACCTAAAAGTTAAATAAAAATTAAAAGGAGGGGCAAAAAGTCGAACTGATTAAATTATATAGGCTAATGTTTGGTAAACCTAGTTAGTTGATAGCTTATAAATAAATTTCGAGCTTATGGCTCATAGTTTGTGGGTTATAGTTGAAAAGCTAGCTGATATGGTAATAAGTGAATTTTGAGCTATAACTCATAGTTTATGGCTTATGACTGAAAAACTAGCTGATATAATAAAAGTGTTTGAAAAGCTAGTTGATATGATAAAAATGTTTGGTAAAATTAGTTAGTAAGACAGCTGAAATAAAAATTTCAACGGGCTTATTGAATAACTACCCAAGGAAGCTTATGAGATAAGCTCGAGTTTTTTGAAAAAGCTCGTCCTACCCAACCAAACCAAATTTATTTGTATACAGAAAGCTTATAAGCTGATTCAAACAAGCTAGTTTATGGTACTTACCAAACACATAATCATATGATTATAGAACTTACCCTAGAGTTTGAAGGCGGGTTTTATGCCATTGTATGCCCAATGGGAGAACGGGCCATGACCACCAATACCACGGTTTTAGCCATGGGGCGCCCGGGAAAGTGATCACACTATTGGGCCCACACGGTACACTCCAACGGAGCCTTAGATCTGAAAGCCCACATCCAAGTTAATAAAGATGTGTCAAATCTTACTTGTCAAATACTAAAAATACTAAAATCCATTTTATACCAATATTTTATATATGCTTTGCTTACAATAGTAAGAAGCATCCATTTGGTAGCCGAGGGGAAGCCTATAGGAACCGTCAAGCTTTGTACCATTCGGTGGAGGATGAAACATCGGGCGATCGAGCAAATCGGGAAAATAGCTTCCTAGAAAACCTTGGTCCGCGCCATCCGGATTACTTCTCCCTATCTCTAACTCGTGCATCATATCATTGAACACCTCCAAAGATGGCTGTGCAATTTGATTATACGTATTATCAAGGTGTAAGTTGCTAATATATAATAAAATGGAGGGTACCGATGCAATTGTTACATTTTAGAGGGATATTTTTTTTAGTCATGCAAACCTGCAATACAAAAAGACCGGTGTGGAAAATGCAGGGGTTGATGAAGACGGCACAAAACTGTCCGCATTGAAAAAGTTCGTCCGTTTTCTGAAGGAAGAGGTTATCGGCATCGAGCATAACAACTCGGTCATAGTCCACGAGCTTCCAAGCGTATAGTTTGTTCAAAGTCAGCTTAAATCGCCAGTTATATTCGGATTGGCTTATGTACGGATTTTTTATATTCTCCACTCTCACCACCTTCGCCCCATCTTCCTCTTCCCTGGATAAAAACACAAACAACATGAAAATGAAAATCTGTTTGCTTAGAGCCACTTCAGCAATTTATTCTTCCACTAAAAAAGGGTGAAAAAAAAGGCAAAAGTATTATGGCATGGCTTTCTAAAGTAGTCTTGTTTCTCTTGCAGGCACATTTGCTAGATTTTATGTTTATTTTTTACTGCACAGTTACTAGAATATATTGGAGAAATTATTTTATCCAAGAACAAGTAGATTTTCCATTAAAACAATCATAAGGATTCTGATATCTCATCCAAGCAGCTTTTACATGTCGAAAAAAAAAAATTCCAATATAAAATCATAGTTCAAGATTGCTGCAGTTGTTCTGTTTTTGTCAAGAAAAATGCTACAAGTACATAATAAATGTACATAAAGATGTACATAACACTCACATGGAGTGGGGTCCACTTGATTTTTTATTTTTAGTGAGACCCACCCCATATGAGTGTTATGTACACCTTTATGTACACCATTATGTACCTATAGCACTGCTCGTTTGTCAAATGTGGTAGATATTTGAATTCCCTTGGTTGAGTATCTTAAATCATAGTTCAAGATTGATGTTAAACATAAAATATCACTTACTCTTCAAGACCTCAACCAAGAAGCAAATAGCTCCCATGGAAGAGCATCTTATCAACATAAACCATTAAAACATGAAAGGAAGTCTCATATAATTATTATTAAAAAAAAATAACGATGTCTAACGGTTAGACAATTATGCAATCACTAATATATATATATATATATTTATACTATGAAATGTCATATTATTATTTATATTGTATTTCGACAACCTAACAAAATAACTACCAATAAAGTAGTATTAACATATTCCATCCAACCAGTGCACATTCATAAACTAAGCACCATCATGTGCCCCAAAAGATTTCAGCATAACAAATAAACTTGGAATGCTTGTAATTTGTAAAGAAAGTGTATAAGTGATTTTTTACTTTTTTTACCAAATTGAGAAGCCAAGACAAAATATATTGATGTTTAGATAACCCATTCACTTCTTTTTCTTACAAGTATACTTATATAGAAATTTGGAGTCCCCATATACCCTTTTCCCAAACACCTTTTTTCGATCTTTCGAAGAAATTGGCATGAAAACGTGTATTTTTTGTAAAGAAAAAAAAAAATAATACGAAAAGTTGAGCTGGTCCAATTATGAGAAACAAGAAAATTTAAATGAAATAAAAAAAACACTTGCTAAGAAGTTGTTGCAAATTGATGACACTTGGCTTGGCTTAGTCTTGACCGGCAAAGCAAATAGGTGGCATGATTAAATGAGATATTTATGTGTGACGCGGTCTTAAGTAATTGATTATTGACTTGGTAGTATTGTTTGACCAAGAAAGAAATTAAAAAAAAAAAAGATATTGTATTTGTTTGCTTAAGTATCTAAATTAATTGACTAATCTCAATTCCGTTAATAACCCCACATGTGACCTGCCCATTATATATTAAAATAAATATATTAACATACATTTAAACATACAGTATGTGGAAGTTCAACCATAGTTTTCATAAACAATATGATACATTTTTTTATTGAATTATAATAATGTTTTGTCTATAATCATACAATACTAATAATCAAGCTTGTGCACATGCACATATATAAATAAAATATTATATAGCATAAAATATAATGAATAATGTACTTACAGAAATAATAGATCCAAACCAATTAATTGGTTGAAAAAAAATTAAACTATTATTATTATATTGAAGTTATTTATGCAGTTTTAAAAGGGTTTGTTATTCCCTTGAACCAATTAGCAATTAAAAATGTTGCTTAATGCGATAAAAATAAAATAATGATATTAATTTTAAAAAAAAATTTAAAAAAAAAGGAAGAAAAAAAAATTGCTATAATTGTTTTTAAAAGTGTATAATTTGCATAAATTTTTAGTTTGAATTTATAATTGATTAATATTAGTTATGTGATAAATATGTTAAAAAGAATTATTGCAATTAATTAACACAAAAGTAACGGCCAGTTTTTATAATTAAAATAAATAAAAAAAGATTGAAAAAATGTCATTATTTTTTTGTCCCTCTCTCTATATATATTCATAAATAAATAAAATAAGAATAGTATAAGTTATAACGTCTTTTAGAGGAAAATCAAAATATTTTTATTAATTGTTTGACTAGCAATTATATAGATATATATAGATTTTTAATAAAAATATATATAATTAAAAAAAATACACCGTTCATCGAATCCACTTTTTTCACATCTTCACTCGCATTTTCCCAACACAGTTTTGAAATTACAAAACCTATATCACTACACAAGTTTCTGTCAAATTTACTCATGAATAATTATCAGTCATCACCTTACTACAATTTGCAAACTAGACAATAGCTTTTGTGATTGTAACTGTATATCATTCAGTTCATAGTTTCATACATATATCATGGTACCATGTTCTTTCTCACTATTGAAATTAAAACATGCCCAAAACATCATTAGACAAAACTGTCAAAAAGTAAAAACCCATTTTCATTTTCCAAAAAAGAAAAATAAAAAAAAGTAACAATAATGGAAAAGAAAGAGATGACAAACTCACAGAGCTTGAATCCAATGTTGGGGCACATCCATGGAGGCAATGACGACACGATCGGCGTCAACCCCAAGCGCCCCAAGGGATCTGAGCATCACGCGCGTGGCTGTGTAGAACTCGTAGTCCCTCGGAGTCCCCACATACATCATCGTAGCATACGCGTTCCTGCGCACGCGCCGGTCAGAAGAACACACGACGACCGAACCCAGAAAAACCCACACACACAAAAAACCCAAAACCCTCAACCTAATCTCCCCCATTTTTGGAACAAAAATGTGTAAATGTAATAACTCCGTGTCCGAAAACAAAAAAAAAATTAAATTAAGAAATGAAATGCAGTTTTAGGCAGATTGATTTTGCCCCCTTCTTTTCTCTTCGGAAAAAAGGCTATGGAAAACCAGATGTTCGTATGAATTAGTAGAAAGAAAGCTGTATAAATAGCTACAGGTACACTATTACTAACGATTATTATTATTATTCGCAACGCGTTTGGGGAGGAGCTGGTGGTTTAAGGAATGGGGCTTTTGAGACTTGAGAGAAGGGTTGCCATAAGTGTATTGTGATAATCGTTTTAGTCTATGCTAAATATTGGTGTTCTATTGTTCTTTTAGAAAAAAACATAATACTGTAAAAAAAATAAAAAAAAAAAAACATGAGTGTGTTTGGTAAGTATACAAAATTTATTTATTTTATGTATACAGAATTTATTTATTTTCTGTATACAACGAGAATGGGTCAAGCAGAATGGAACCTAGCCGAAAAAGACAACGAGACTAATTTCGAGATAGAGACTTTAACTCGAGCTGACAGACAGAGCAAAAGACAATAAAATAAAGGCAACTTGCAGCCTAATGATGGGAAATCACACATCTGCCGGCTAACATGTCGACCCGCTAGTCTTATGCTCATAAGGTAGCATGATGCATTAAATGCACCAGTCCAATCAGTCAAATGTGTATTGTACGACCCAATGAACAGTTTCTGGTCTACAATTACTATACATATCAATGTACTCGATTAACAATTTCTGAGCTACAATTACTATAAATATCATTGTTTTAGATTTAAAAGGGTTTTTTTTTTTCTTTTTGGGCAAAATAGCACTACTCATAAAAAAATGACTCTCACGATACACGCTAAGTAAAATATTCAACTGAGCCATGACACCATGGCTGACCTAGGCCACTATTATTCTGCTACTATATGATTTATTTCTGTTAAATTTCCCCACTCCAAATATTCGGACATGGCTTAATCAAACATCACCAAATATTTTTATGAAAGCCCAGGCCCATATACGGTTCCAACTGAGCTGGGAAAATGGGTACGTCATTGCACGGTCCCACATAGAACCGGCTCTGATACCAGCAGATGAAGCGCATCATAAGAGGGTGAGCCTAGATGCACCATAGTGAGGTTCCATCCCAAAATCAATTGGTGAAAGGAGGAGTAGCCCACTAGACTTATAAGTTGAGCCTATTTTCCCTATATAAACGATGTGGGACAACTCACAAGTGATATTCTAACAGGCTCGCGGTCCCTGATAGATCTCGATAAAACTAGCTTTGATACCCCCTCACTTGTGAGTAGCCCAAGCCCAACTGGGTGACAGGTACGTCATCGCACGGTCCAACATAGATCCAGATAAAACCTGCTCACAGTCCCTGATAGAATAGAATTGACTTTGATACCATGTAAGAAACGGGAGAAAAACGGGTGCGGTCCCACACACGTGAAGCGCGCCGTGACAGGAAAAGCCCAGATAAAGCCCAAGCAAAACTAATTGATAAAAGGAGGAATAACCCACTAGACTTATAAGTTAGGTCTATTTTCCATATATTAACGATGTGGAACAACTCACAAGTGATATTCTAACACATTTAATTCCTCGATCAAATTCGTTTGTCAACATATTCTTTATAAAAAAATAGATAATATTATAAAGAAAAAGGATCAAAATTGCGGCTATGAAATTTTCTTTCTTAGTAACACAATTTTTGGTGAATTTTTTTTCATACTATTTGATGTAAATCACTAATATTTTATAAATATAGATTTTACCCAATAACTCTCAACTATAACCTTTAAAATTAACTTATATATCAAGTAGTTTTTCAGCTGAAGTTACTAAGCATTGCTGAACTAGATAAAAGCATTATTGAAACTTAGAACAAATTATTAATTATGCTATGGAGTCATCGAATGGCTCGGTTTATGGAGTCATCCACACTTATTCACCAATAGTGTATTGACACGTGTCCTGCAATAAATACACTTTAGACATGTGTCAATACATTAAGTGGTGAGTGGCTATTTAAGAAAACCATCCGATGGCTCCATAAAATTTTTAATTAATTATATTTGGTAAATAATATTTAGCGAACAACTTAAACCGAGTGGGAAAATACATTTCTTTCTTAATAAGGAAGTAGTCAAAATTTCAAAGCTTCTTTGACTAAAATTATTGGAGTCCGACACTGCCCTAATCCAATTTAATCGATTTTAAGTGAGATAATCAAATAATAATAATTTAACATTTATGAAACAACAACAAACTAAAACTTAAGCAGTGTATATAAAAATAGAGTGGCATGGCGAAAAAAAATAGTAGAGAACACTGAAAATCAATGACATTGTAAAACCAAAGCTTTTAATATCATTAACTACACAATTTTAAAGTAAAACGACATTAAACTAGTCAAAGGGTATATGCGGACACAGAAAGTTGTTCCTTTTGCCCTGAATTTTGGCAANAATTGTTAATTTAATTAATATCTATAGATCAAATGATGACGCATAACCAAAAGGTGTCGAAAAACTGTACAATTATTGCAGTATTCTCAAGAGTCAAAAAAAAAAAGAAAGAAAGAAGAAGTACTCTAAATTGAGCCAAGAAAACCCCTGAATAGGTGATGGAAAAAATTCCGAATCGATTATCTATACTATATATTTTCTCAAATTATTTAACTTTAGATATTAGCTTATGGTTTCAAATTAGATTTCTTTATCCGCATAACAGAAACGAGTTGGAATTTTATTAGGCATCATTCACTTTGATTTTCAAAGTTTAAAGCAAACTCGTCTGATGAATTAAGTGGTGATTGACCGAGCAATCGCCGAGTTTTGAAATCATGGGTCACACGGTCAATGTCTTTGACTCAGTCCAAATCGTGTGATGATGCTTTCATTTTCAAGTAATTGTTATTGGATTAGCAAGTAGATCTCATGCTACAGTAACACATTAATTATCTTCGTCCTTTGATAATCTCCTGTTGTCTCTCATTTATTTTTTGCGGATGATTCCATTGTGTTTTGTAAAGCAGATATCTATCATGAACAATCTGTGCTTCAAATTCTGAGTGATTATGGCACTGCTTCAGGTCAGCTTGTGAACCTGGACAAATACTTCCAAGTATCTATTTGTAATGACATAATTAGGGAGATTGCTAATTTCTGGTGGAGTGTTTCTAAAATAGGGAAAAATAAATTACACTGGTGTGGGTGGGATCTTTTGTCAAAACCTAAAGAGGAGGATGGGTTGGGATTTAGAGGTTTCAGGGTTTTTAATGAGACTCTCATAGCTAAACAGTTATGGAGGATCATCACTAAGCCAAACTTATTGGTGAGCGGAGTGTTGAAGGGAAAATATTTTTGGAAGCAAAAAAACTTTGAAATCAAAGCCAAGAGTAATGATTCTTGGCTTTGGAAAAACTGGTTGAAAGCTAGGCATTCACTGAGATTAGGTTATAGATATCAAGTGGGCAATGGCAAAAGCATTGATGTTTGGGACTCACCCTGGCTACCTCAAGCCAAAGGGTTTATTCCTAAACTTCAGTTTGATTGTGATAGACAGAGGATCAAAAAAGTCAGTGACCTTATGCATGCTAATCATCGATGTTGACCTTGTAATGCAGACTTTTTGCCCTGAGGATGCAGAACAGATTTTGCAAATTCCTATCAGTCATACAGGACTTGGTGATAGGCTGGTGTGGCATTAGAGCAACAAAGGGATGTTCACAGTCAATGAAGTCTATAAGTACCTGCACAACCTCAAGTTGCAACAACAAATGACAGAAGGATCAAGCTCTGGAAACAGCAAAATGCAAAAGATTTGGAGAAAGACTTGGAAGATACCAGTAAAAATCAAAGTGAAGAACTTCCTATGGAGGTGCTGGTATGGATTTTTGAACACTAACTCTCAACTGAATAATAGAAAAGTCCCTGTGGATTTAATCTGCTGTATGTGTGGTGAAGAACCAGAAGATCTTGAACACATTCTATTTAGATGTAGTAGGGCTGTTAACTGGCAATGGTGAAAAAGACAGGAATCTCAACTGATATTTGCTGTTGTGTAGATTCTCCTATTATGGCCAGGCTGCTTAATGACTTATCTGCTGCAAACAGTTCTGTTATGGCTTTAACAGCAGATATTAATGTGTATGTCAATTTTTTTGGTTGTTGTTCGTTTTTTCTAGATAAGTTAGTTTGTTCAGGTGCTTTTGCTTTAGCCTTAAAGGCTTTCTAGAGGGACTAATATGGTCATCTAACTGGTTGTAACCCATTATTGTGGTAGCTAATTCGTTTGTACTCACTTGGGTACTCGATGTATGAACTCCTTCATTTGAGTAATTTTNAAATACACTAGACAATTAAATGAATAGAATCAATATAATAATTATGATATAAAAATATTATTATTTTATAAATACTTTAATGTTTGATCAATATATTAAGATATTTGATAAATTAGTTAGTAGTTTTTCTTTTTTCTGTTGTTGTATTTTTTTATTTATAAAAATTATATTAAGTGGATTGATTTTACATTTCACACCAGTAATTCATATAGTGAATCACCTGTTTAGCTTTCTAACGTCATCTATATCTTCCTATCTATGGAATACTTTTTTCTGAACAATTTATATACATGTTTGAATTATAATTTATTTTTATGTCAGTTGTTTATTTTATTTTTATATTGAATTGTTAACATAAGAAAAATGGGATCTTGTAACATGATTAACATTAAAAATAAAAGAGAATAAATTAACAAAAAAAATGACAAGATAGCTAAGATATTCATTTATATTAATCATATAATGAAGTGTATATAAAGTAGTGTATATAATGAACTAGGATAGTTTCATTTAATTTCTAAAAAAGTATAACGTCGCAAAAAAAAATAAAAAAATGATAAGGTACAAATTCCAGTTTCATAAAATTTAGCAATATTATATTTAATTTTAACCAATGGTAAAAATTACTATCTTTTTATATATTATATATATAAATAAATGAAGGTAAAGATAAAATAATATATAATTTCATTTTCTTCCAAAACAGAGGTGAATCCCTCTCAATCTCAGTTGCACTCCGAATTTCAGCTCTATTCCCACTGTAAATCTAAACTGTTTTGTCGTACTTACATTGATACGTGCCTCCTATGCCTCTGTGAGTTGCTTACAATTTTCTTTAATTTTTTATTTTTTAATTTCTGTCAAATTTTATTCACTCGTCAGTAGGAATTAGAAGGCAATGGAGTTAGTTCATAGCCAAAGGGTTTAGTGCTTTGCAGGAAGTTGATAGGGCTGTCGATTATTGTGAACTTTAGGACAGGCGTTTTATTCCTTATCTTAAAGGTGTTATTTATGTGTTTGAATCCAGTTTGCAGCTTGTTTTGCCCTAATTAAAACATTTATGATCTGTGCTGACCTAAAACCCTGAATTAATTGTGAATAAATGTTTGTATACTGTATAGTTAGTTTGAATTCGAGGATTTTGTAGTCTAAAAGGGGAAGAAATAAGGCTTATGTAATTAACCTTGTGGATGAGTTGATAACGAGCTGAGCCGAGCTCGACTTGTTAAATAAACAAGCTTGAAAATGAATTAATTGTGAATAAATGTGTGTATACTCTCGGTTTACTCTTGCTTCTTCCTTTTTGATGCATCATGTATTCCATCTCTGCTTCTACAGCCGTGTTTGTAGTAAATTAGGTGTTTTTACACGTTAGTATATCATGTAAAATTTAGATCTCGATTTAGTTGAAGCGAATTGTAGAGCAAACGTCGGTAACTTTGTTGGTCCATCTTCTCGGACTGCACAAGGAACATTTTTGAGTGGGCAAAAATGCATCTTTAAAAATATCGCCACTTCCCAAGTGCAAATAAGGCTTTTGAAAGGAGTAGTTTGCAATTTGCATTCTTGTTATGATTTTTCAGCAGTACAGACCCTTTTGCTCTCTCAGTTGGAGAAGTTAGCTGAGACTTTCATGAACAACACTGTAAACTGGAGATTCAAGCTATAGAAGTATTTATTTTCCAAAATTTTCAGTTCTTTTCTGGAATTGCATTTCCGGAAAGTACTGACGATCAAAGTTTTTGTGCATGTTAATTTTTACCTTATTAGCATGATATTTGATGATATTGACCTAAAATTTGGTTTGCATTGCCATTGGAATAATTATGCTCTCTATTTGCTGTTACTTTTGATAATTTGATTTGTTTGTGAAGAAACAAATGACATGGAGCCCACCCAAAACTTGTGTCCTTGCCTGTTTGGTCTATCATTATCAACTTTGGAAAAAAAATATAATTAACATTAATATAATAAAGTTTTTTATTTGGAGAACATCCATACAATTGTCATGTTTACATCTCCACATATTTTTATTGGTCCAAAAGCTCTTAAGCTGTGACTTGTGACCTAACACATAGTTTGGGAAAACATTATCTAAGTGAGGGCCGATTAGTATACTGTCAAGGTCAAGACAGATAGCTAATGATGACATATAATAGAACATTAATATAAATTAGTAGTAGTAATGTCAATTAGGCACATTTAGTCATACTTTTTCAACAATACAAATCTTGAGGTTGTTTAACGATTAGACGATAGTCGATTTGTCATATTTATGTGAACAAAAATGTATACTTATACTAAATAAATGTCACACTTCTGTTTATGTGTTTTTAAAATTACGATATTCTTTTAGTGAAAGTATGTATATTTGTGAGAAAAGCAAGTTAACCTAATGGTTCAGCCGACCCGATTCACCAAAAAACCTACTGTCTCAATAAATATGTATATATAATTTCGAATTGAAATGTTACATTACAAAAAAACAACACAAGCAAAGTGATTTCGTGATCCGCCCACGAGAAATTCCATGACTTTCTTTCTCTCTTTTTTTTTTTTTTTGNTTATAATATATTAGTATAACTAAAATATATTGGAGCGCATTTATTTGTATAAAATTGAATATATTTTAGATAATACATATTATAATTTGTGATGGAAATATATATTTTTCGATTTTTTTTTTTGTGTAAAACAGCTTAATCGTTAGACAAGTCAATTTCGTTATATTTTGTTATTTACTAAAAATGTATATTTATATTAGTTTTTAAAATATGATCCTTAAATTTGACAATCTGCACCTCCGCTGAAGAGGTATAATTTTCAGTTAGGCACCCTTGCTGATATTTTGTAACCGATACTAAAATTATGTAAATTATCATAATAGAAGCTAGTGATATAATGCCGTTCTACCAACCCTATATCCATAGCACTCACATTTTGGACATCTTATGTTCACTTGAAATCTCTATTTTCTCTTCACAAATTGTCAATTTCTCTTCACAAATTCTTGTCAGCAGTTATCTAATCGTTAAACAGGGTCAACCCGACAGACTTGTTGTAACGCTTTGGGATGGCCATTTATATATGACGATAAAACTTATAGATAAACACATATTTACAAATAAAAAATAACTAGAAACAATTTACTCAAACAGTTATAAAGCTTAATCCAATGAAAGGTCTACACGACGAAACAATGATAGTCTGGTATCAACTGCACTAAAACACACCCACAAGACTAAAATACTAAAATACTAAATTCCCACAAGTGGAGAACGATAACTCCAAAAATGGAAAATAACTAATCCCATAAGTACCCCACGTCAAGCACATTCAAAATTGAAATTCTTATGAATTGGATGTAACAATAAAAGGTGCATTTGCTTATATAATTTATACGAATAAAATCTTTCTAACCTTTCCCAATTTTCTTATTACGACTCAGGGTATCACACTTGTTTATAACAAAAAATATATATTTATGTTAGGAAATGTCATATTTTTGTTTATATTATTTTGTAGAGATATGGCATTTAAGCTTTAAAGTATGCATATCCGTTAAAAATTTATAAATACTTAAATGTTAAACCTGACTTAGACTAAATGATTTTTCTTCCAAGTGCTACATATCTTACCTATCGATATTTTGTCATATGTATGTTCATTACTTGAAAAGAATAGTAACAAATATGTATACTTTCAAGCCAAAATGTCATACTCCAAAAGTCAACATAAACAAAAGTATGACATTTGACAGCAGTGTTATACATTTTTTACTAAAAAATTATGACGAATCGACTAACCTAATAGTTAGATTGCCCCACATAAGATTCTATGTTATGGGGTCCAATTAAAATGTGTAACATTTAGACTCGACCAAGGTTTGGAACCGACCTGAACCAGCCTGTTGACCGCACGGTTTTGAAATTAGCCAGTACCGTTGACCATAATTCGTGAACTGAAATAGTGTTTTACCCGTGCCGATTCCGATTCATTTTCTTTTTTCTTTTTTTTTTTTAAAAAAAGAAGTTTTGGCCATGTCCAGTAACATTACAATTTATTATATCAACTGAAGTGGAGAAACTTCTTGGCCTCTTCTTCACATCATCATATATTCAGCCTTTATATACTACACTCTACACACTCTCTCCCGCACAGTTCTAAATTATTGTCCACACTTTCGTGCCTTATTAGCTCAACACTCACTGAAAAGTGAAAAAACACACGCGCACACGGAAAATACAGAGAGCCCAAACAAACAAGTACTCTGTTCGTCTTCTTCCTCCCCAACAATGACCTCCCCTGTTTTACCCCTCATATTCTCTCTCCTCTCCATCTCCCTCTCCCTCCTCCCATCTCTCTCCTCCTCC